TATAACTTCACGGGACCGCTCTTATATTACAGACTACTGCCCAGGCCCCACGGTGGAACGTGGTCCGTGTTCTTGCTTTACACTGCAGCAGTAGACCCCAAAGATGGAAGCTGGACCGTTCAGGTGTGAATAAACTCTGTTATTCCTAGTTTATCTTGGTCTGGTTGGCATATTATTGGAATAAGAGACAACGCTGTAACACGGATAAAAAGTTAGCATTGTTAGCTGCTGTTTTTCTTTTCTAATTCAGTGATGGATAAGATATCTGTAATATACAAATATTTCAATTTATTTAAGTGATTGCAGTCCATGTCAACGACGTGGCTATGATCAAAACTGTTTATTTTACTTTACAAGATATTATTTTCTCTTATTTTTTGGGGATGACGAAAAGTACAGGCCGCTTCTTCGGCATATTTCAGCGGGAAGCCTGTGAGTGATACATTCCTTAAGTGCGCCCTCTGCTGGTGTAACTACTAACTTCACGACCTCTTACAACCAGCGGAAGGCAGGAAACCGTAAACTCCAGGTTCCGGCAGTAGAAATAATCATCAAGAGACAAAGTCAGAACAAAAATAGATATTTCAGTTTTTTTAAAATGTCGGAATTATAAATTAAATTGAATTAGGAGATTAGCCATAGCTACAAGTGGGAGAAAAAACGTTTGGAATGAAGAAATCATGACAAAAGAAATCAGACATGGCAGTTGAAATATCACTGAAATAAATTAGTCGTTATATTTAGAAAATGTCCTGGAAATAAGTAAAAACATCTGAAGCCCAAGAACTACAGTTTATTATCACACTGTTTGAATTAATGCTGCAATAATTGACTGAAAAGAGGCATTAAAAAAATAACTATTATCTATTATTTGACATTTGTTCATTTTTCTCTTTATTTGTATTTAGTCAAAACACTAACACACTGTCAATTCAACATTTTTATTAAATTGTTGTTACTTGTTTTTTTTTTCCTGTGCCAAACAACATATTGATTGTTAATAAAAAAAAAAAAAGATCAACCTTGTTAACCATGTAGTGAAGTGGTTTTAGAATATGTGTAGTCTGGGCTTAGAGAGAGTGTTTCATATTCCCAAGAGGATCGAGACCAGTAAAAAAACAAAAATCTAAATTTATATATATATATATATATATATATTACTTGATTCAGTCAAGCCTACACTGGGTTACACCCTGGTTGTGGTGGTTCAGGTGCAGGTGTAACGATGTGCTCTTCACCTGTCGGTGTCTCCACTGTAAATGAGTTGATCCATTACAACGTGACGACACATTACTCAGAGTTACACTGAGTTGAATCAGAAGTGATTTTTCTGCCCCCGTTGCATCACTTGTTTACTGCCGATTTTCCGTCAGGCACAATTGGTTTGTTGCATCATTGCCAATCAGTGTTTGTCAAACAAACAAACAGGTGTTGTTTTTTTTGTTTGAGTTTTTAAATAATTGTTGCACAATAACATCATTCTCACCTCGGTCTTTGTTGATTGTTGATGAGTCGATTTGTTCATTTTTCTTTTTTTTAATAAAGAATTCTTTGTTTTTACAGGGGCCCGACAAGACCTCTCGTCATCCAGGGGAGATGTTCAACTCGTTGCCCTTCTCTGATTGGACGATCTGACAAAGCAGGATCCCAAAAGTGTTGGGTCATTTTCCAAAAGGTGTTTTCTGTTTTCATATCAAGGTGAGGACTTCTGGTGAAACAGACAGTCCTGAGGATTATTAGCTGTGTGAGTAGACCAGTCCAGAATCCTGCTGACACTGGTGAGTACATTTAATATATATATATCTATACTGTATACACATATAAAATACACAAGGAATATCAGCACAGACTTAGATGTTCCTATTTGACCTTTTGCAGCAGTTACCCCTGACAGTGATAGTTAGTTAATAAAATATGTTGACTTGGTCTATAATAATATGTAGCTCACCAACATACAGTCATAGTGGTTCGACATGGACATTAGTATCTTTTCTCCATCGGTTTCTGTTTGCCTAACTTTACATTTATACTAGATGCTCGATAAATAAGTGCAAAACAATTAAGTATGGATTGATATTTTGGGGTTAGAAAATGCATTCATATTGTAAAATCTATGGTTGGTCATTCTACAATGTGGAGAAAATACAGCCTTAATTAGCTCTGAGACTCTGCTGGAGCAGAGGTGAAAATCCCATTTTATTAATGTGTGTGTGTGTCTCCGCTTTAAGGTCCTCCACATACAGTAGATAGATAGAACTTTACCAAATGCCTCTGGAGTTTCCTTCAAGAAATATGTATTATGTATGTGTATATATGTATATACGTTCAGTTTATACAAATATATACATACTGTACACATATACACATAAATACATATATATGCTTTATATACATATATTTCATATACATTTGGATATATATGGATATATAAGATATGCATATATGTAAGTCCATATACACCATATCTATGTAAATATGTAGCATATATAAAGTGTATATACTATACATGTGTATATCTATACATGTATGCATACCTGTGTGTGTGTGTATATATATATACGGCCACCGAGGGAGAGAGGGAGAGCGAGAGAGAGTGAGTGTCTATGTATGTTTATATGTTTGTTTATTTATATTGTATGTATTTTACGTTTGTATATATATTTATATATGGAGGCAAGCATACATGTGTTTATGTATGCATATACATAATCGCATATATTCAAATATATGTGTATATATGTATGTACATTCAGTTTATACAAATATATACATACTGTACACATATACACATTAATACATATATGCTATATATACATATATTTCACAAACAATTGGATATATTTAAACATGCATATATGTAAGTCCATATGTACACTATGTAAATATGTAGCATATATAAAGAATATATACTATATATGTATGTCTGTATATATATAAATAAATATATTATATATATATAGGTGTGTGGGTGTATATGTGTTTGTTACTGCCTTTTTATAAAAACACCTTTTAAAGACAACAGAGTCAACAATCTTTCACAACAAATCACCTTCAAATTCCAGTGAGGTCCACCCAGGTTCTAACATGTGAACAAGTTCTACAAATCACTTTCAACAGTTTGTGTTTGTCTGTGGTCTTTAACAGCAGACTTTTCTTCTTCTCTATCTGTCCCAACAGATCCTGTTCACTATGGAGGAGTTCCACATAAACTCCTCGGTGCTCCTGATGTCTGTCAGACCCTTGAACTACACGGTCAGAGAGAAGACAATATACGAGCAGTGCAGACACATGCCCACCGTCCTCATCTGGTACCTGACCCTGCAGTTCATCAACATGTTCCTAGGTATCCCGGCCAACCTCATGGTGCTGTGGCTCATCCACAAGAACAGAAGTGACTCCTCCACCTCCGACATCTATATCCTCCAGCTAGCCGTGTTAGACGTGTTCTTCTGCCTCATCCCTCCTCTTGAGCTGACCAACATCGTCTTCCTGACCACCAGCAGTACCTGGTACGTCCTTCGCTTCTTCTACGGCATCAAAGACACCTCGCCTCTGATTCTGTCCTGCATCTGCCTGGACCGCTATATCGCCGTGCTGCATCCGATCACCTTCACCAGGCTTAAAGACCGGCAGCACAGGGCAGTCCTGGTCATAGTGGTCTGGCTCATCATTCTGGCCTACGCCGCAGCTAAATGTGTGGGCAACATCCCCAACTTTGAGAAGGTCTTCACATGGATGATTCTTGCAACATTTGCCTTCATGCTCTTCTGCAACATCGCCATCCTGTGGGCGCTACGGCAGTCTGGTCCAGGCAGAGACGAGATGCACCCCATGAAGAAGAAAGCCTTCAAATTTGTTCTCATCATCCTGGCCATCATAGTCTTCAACTACTTTCCACCAGTGGCGCTGTTTCCCTTTCAGGACTATTTTTCTCCAGAAGTGTTCCGCTGCTACATTCACTACGTGGCCTTTGGGCTGATGGACTTCAGCAGCACCATCCAGCCGGTTCTCTATCTCTCCAAGGAAAAGATACCACAGAATCTTCACTGTTGTCAACCCTAAGTTGTTCTCGAGTCTGAAGACGAGGTTCCCCTTTGATGCGTTCCCTTACTCCTAAATAATTAGATAATATCATGAAATTGTCCACATGAAGTCGAACACAAGAGCATTTTCTCTGGTTACACTCCACCGTCCAAAACCCTGGAGAAGAAGACTTAGTACTCACCCTGTTGCCTCTACTCACGTGTGATGTTAGAAATCTTATAAGACCAGGTGCAGGCAATCTTTTTGACTCGCTGCCCACAATTCTACTAAAATTGAACGGGGAGGCGAGTCAGGAGCGCATAGATAAAGTGTTCGTGAGAACTAAGATAAATGACATGTAAAAGTCATGCAAAAAGGCTAACATGCTGTTGTCATTTTCTACTCCAACTATTGAGGAAACATGGGTATTACAGGGAAGAGGCAGAAGTATAATGATAATAAAAATAAATTATATATTTTGGAAATGTTTGGAGGGCTGGATTAAAAAGATGAACGGGACGCATCGGGCCCCCGGGCCTTAGTTTGTCCATGTTTGTATAAACCCATTACACGACACATTATGCGACTTCCGAAGTCCGAACGTAATATCTTCAAGATCTATCACACAACATTGAACTATTCTTAGAAATATATATTTATTCTAGTGTCATCAAAGAAACAGTACAAACAACAAGATTTTACAGCTATGCCAACAAATGCAGCCACATAAAAAGTGAACACTTGCAGGGTTTACATATTTAAATTCTAAACTATAACAGGTGGCATGTAAATAAATTCTGTGAAAGAACAAGAGACCACTGTCTGTCTACCAAACCAGAACACGCCCTGAACGGACGCCAAGGTTTCTTCCATGGTATGAACTCATACTCGTCATTTTGACACGGCCACCGAGGGAGAGAGGGAGAGCGAGAGAGAGTGAGTGTCTATGTATGTTTATATGTTTATTTATATTGTATGTAGTATAAATGTGTGTGTGTGTATATATACATATATTTTTTTTATATATACAAACAAGCATACATATGTGTATATATGTATATACATTCAGTTTATACAAGTATATGCATACTGTACACATATACACATTAATACATATATGCTATATATATATTTTACAAACCTTTGGATATATTTAAACATGCATATATGTAAGTCCATATATACACTATATCTATGTAAATATGTAGCATGTATAAAGTGTATATCAATATATGTATATGTCTGTATTTATATATAAATATATATGTGTGTGTATACAGTATATATATAAATATATATATGTGTGTGGCTGTATATGTGTTTGTTACTGCCTTTTTTATAAAAACACCTTTTAAAGACAACAAAGTCAACAACCTTTCACAACAAATCACCTTCAAATTCCAGTGAGGTCCACCCAGGTTCTAACATGTGAAGTTCTTCAGTTAACCAGGTTCAACAGTTTGTGTTTGTCTGTGGTCTTTAACAGCAGACTTTTCTTCTTCTCTATCTGTCCCAACAGATCCTGTTCACTATGGAGAAGTTCCACATAAACTCCTCATCCTTCAACTACACCGACAGAGAGGAGACAATATACGAGCAGTGCAGACACATGCCCACCGTCCTCATCTGGTACCTGATCCTGCAGTTCATCAACATGTTCCTAGGTATCCCGGCCAACCTCATGGTGCTGTGGCACATCCACAAGAACAGAAGTGACTCCTCCACCATCGACATCTATATCCTCCAGCTAGCCGTGTTAGACGTGTTCTTCTGCCTCATCCCTCCTCTTGAGCTGACCAACACCGTCTTCCTGAGCACCAGCAGTATCCAGCACATCCTTCTCTTCTTCTACGGCATGAAAGACACCTCGCCTCTGTTCCTGTCCTGCATCTGCCTGGACCGCTATATCGCCGTGCTGCATCCGATCACCTTCACCAGGCTTAAAGACCGGCAGCACAGGGCAGTCCTGGTCATAGTGGTCTGGCTCATCATTCTGGCCTACGCTGCAGCTAAATGTGTGAACAACATCCGCAACTTTGGGAAGGTCTTCACATGGATAATTCTTGCAACATTTGCCTTTATGCTCTTCTGCAACATCGCCATCCTGTGGGCGCTACGGCAGTCTGGTCCAGGCAGAGACGAGATGCACCCCATGAAGAAGAAAGCCTTCAAATTTGTTCTCATCATCCTGGCCATCATAGTCTTCAACTACTTTCCACCAGTGGCGCTGTTTCCCTTTGAGGACAAATTTTCTCGAGAAGTGTACCGCTGCTACATTGACTACGTGGCCTATGGGCTGATGAACTTCAGCAGCACCATCCAGCCGGTTCTCTATCTCTACAAGGAAAAGATACCAC